GGGCAAAACCAAAACCAAAAAATTATTCCCAGAAAAAAAGTAAGATAAAAAAAATCTTTCCAGGTATAGTGCAAAAAAAAAATTCCTTGCTTAGAAGATAGGCCAAGTGGTGTACTGGAGGGAGGGCTCAGGGGGGCTGAGCCCCCTTGTTGAAATTTCATGTTGACTTGGGGGGCTGCACGTTGGTCAAATTTAGCAAAATTTCTCCCACTCGTGCGGGTTCGTATTGACAGCGGACATCTTACAGAAAGTGGCCAGTTCTCTGAAAAATGCAAAAGTTTCAATTTTACACAGCAAGTCCACTGACAATATGAGCCTGCGGTCCTGGGAGAAAATTTGCTGAATATGACCAGCGTGCTGAGCCCCCTTTATTTTGGCACGTTGCATAATCTTAACAACGTCAAAAACACACACAAAAAATATCAGTAAACGAGAATGTTCTTTAGAATTGCATCTCGTTTTCACTCATCATATAACACAATAATGATTTTTGTAATCTTTATATCGCCATTTTTGTAATCTTTATAACATTTAGTACCACTAAACTCTAAATTTCGACATACTAAAACGCTGTTTTCTGACCATCAGAATTCTGTCAAATCTTCCCCAAAGTCCAGGAAATGGCATTTCAGAGACTCTAAATTTAAAAATTTCCTCGGGCCTTCGACCCTCGCTTCGGCTTGTTTTTAATAAGAATAACGTCAAATGTTTGTCCCAGAATTACTAGAATAACCCCCAACAAAATTTAGAATTTCCAAAATATCTTATTGTACCTCCCCTCCCCTCCCGCCAATTCAGGACACTTTGGAGAGCCCCCCTTGTTAACATTCCAGGACTACACCACTAATAGGCCTATAAATTTCACTTAAAGCTTAAGGGGCCCTACAGTCATTTTTTAGTCGAAAGCCACCTTAAGTAGGGGACTCCACGGAGATTCGTTTGGCTGTATCTTACATGCAGTATCCATGAGTGTGAGTACTTTTGCACACCAGAAAACGCATGCATACTGTGGTGCGCATGTCAAGTAGCGACAATAACAAAAAATGTAAACAATACTTACTTGACTAAAAAATTACTGTAGGACCCCTTTAAAAAAATATTTCCAACCATCAAGTGAGAAAAAAATATATTTCTTCTATAGGTGTACAAAAAAAAAATATTGCCTCTTAGAAAATCCCCCCCCCCCGTCACTTTTCTAATGGTTCGTCCCTAAACATCATCACCTCGTAATGCACCCAACGTTTCTTCTGTTTCTTGGCAGCAGGTTTGTCATCCTTAGCACTGCCGTGCGTTTGGAGGTTAAGGTGTTTAGTGGCATCAATACTCATGAAAACCAAAGAACTTATAGGTTTTGGATTAGTTGCTATATCAATACTTCATTGCTCAATTATGGGCAAAATATGGGCACTAGAGGCTCAAAAATACAAGATTTTTCTGGAGTTTGACCTCCTCGGCTCCCCTACAACTTTGCGCTTTTCCGAGCTAAGCGTCAGTTACTTTAGTATCTCGCTAACTCTAGACGAAACCATTGCGTGTGTCGCTGTACGGTGAAGGCGTTTAATGAATCAATACTCATGAAAACCAAGGAACTTAGATTTTTGGATTAGTTGCTATATCAATACCTCATTGCTCAATTATGGGCATAATATAGGCACCATGCAGAGGCTCAAAAATACAAAAAGGTTTGACCTCATCGGCTCCTATGCAACTTTGCGCTTTTCTAGCGTTCAATTAGTAACTCCAGACGAAGGACCTTCGCCCGAAAGTCACAATTCTCGTTATATTTATCAGGTAGATGCATCCCTACCAACGAAAGCTTCTTCGTTACTGAGGCACCACCGGATTTTTTTTCTATCCAGAATTATATACCGGCCAGTGAAGTGGAATCGGAATTTGTCGAAATTGTTCGTCGTTTGTTCGGCGTTCGTTTCCCATCGACGTGTAATCCGCCATTTTGAGATCTCTCATCTTGCCTTTGTTTAGAAGCAAAACATAAATCGGAGATAGATTTATCTAATAGGCACAGAATGTCTAAACTAGATCAAGTGCTACAGATAGATCCAGCTCATGAATTACATTTTAAAGGTATGTTGAACTGAATTTTATGTTAAAACTTTGCCTTTTGTTTGTACTCTTGTAGTTTGTCACATCGAAGGGTTATAAATAAATAAATACAGACTGGACGGTTCAGGACTCGAATGTAGGAAATCAAAAGGCAACCATTTTGCTTTACTGTTTGTTCAACCGAGAGTTTTACTGTTTGTTTCATTTGAGCATTATAAAGCCACTAAGCTAGTTGGAAACTTTCAATTCACCATAGGGGCATAGGCCTCCCAATGTAGGACTGGGCAAGAAAAACTTGGATATGAGTTTAATTTTAATAGCAGCGTTGAAAACTCCATTTCGTCTTGGGTTATAGACTTTTTCCATGAAGGGCGGAAAATGAGCTGACAATATGGGATTACCAGATAAAGGGAATGAAAAGTAACTTTCCTTTGTGCAAAGTAGACATTAACTGGGATTGTAAAGGGGTTGGAGGAATGGGAAGTGGACAAAGAAAATATTGGACAAGTCCCAGTGTTGCAGTTTGTATCGCACAGCGGAGATATCGGCCATGCAATTTTGATGCTTTCTATAATTTATTATTAAATTTTTCTAAATCTCTATCATGCAATTTCCACACTTTCCAGTCTGTGCCCGGACTCAATCTCACAAGGGTCAGTATAGTAATGTATATGATAGTAACAATATGTCATAAATTACAAAGTTTAAAATGAAATTGACTTGCCTATTTGATAGTGTGTGACAGTTCTCCTTGTATTCCTCTTTTGTTGGACTTTAGAATATTTTGCGAGACTTTGCACTTGATGGTACTAATATACATACTACATCATAAAGGCAAACTACTTACAATTGTCGATCCGTCTGCACGGCACTTTGAATTGAAAATTCTCCCACTCAAATCGCATTATTCTCCAAAACAATTAGTCCGGATGTAGAACAGATGACTTTCTTCGAAAATAGGGAGATACTTTGGCGAGATGTACAAGTTTTGGACCAAATTTTTTAACAATGGAAATCAAAACTCATTTTATATTGAACTTACAAAGACCGATGATTACTACAGCGAATGCCTGGGCAACCAGGCCTCCTTTTCTGTTGGGATTTACAGGGGGGTTTACATTAATTCGAAATATGATTGTTACATAAAAGTATAAGTTGGAATATGATATATAGACATCATAAATTGTTTTAAATACATTTCTTATTATAACGTATGTGATATATACAGTCCAACAATACATTGTTTCCCATTGTACTTCCCACTTTTTGGTATTTGCATGCTGTGGGCATGTGGCGTCCTCCTCCCATGGTAGTAATTGTAAGTTCAATATAAAATGGGTTTTCAGAGATGTAACTTAACACTTGCCTGCTTGTCCGGCGCAAGTGAATATCATGACAGGCAAGTAAACGTTTTGTCTTGCTTGCCAGATTGGGCAAGTTGCCTTGCCACAAAAAGCTGGGCATCTTGGAGTTTAATATTTATATTTTCATTGTTAGATATAAATTTTTTATAGTGCATGTACTTGATTCAAATTTTGTTTTTTTGTGGTCCAAAGGTAGATCTGAGGCAGTATAAAATATGGCTATAGAGCAGTGGGAGAACGGGTTGACATGTTGTCCTGTTAATTTACTGTGTACCCCCTACCTAGATACCCCAGTGGGCCATGGTAAGTGAATTTTATTCAGGGTAACTAATTTTCATGTCTAACTTGCCCTGAGGGCAAGTGGTCAAAAAAGTAAAGTTACACCACTGGTTTTTATTTCCATTGTTAAAAAATGGTCCAAAACTTGTACTCTCACGGAAGAACGGCATCTGTTCTACCTGCTGGCAAATTTTTTTCGAGAATACACCGATCCGAGTGGGAGAATTTATATTCAAAGTGCCGTGCAGATGGATCGACAATTGTAAGTAGTTTGCCTTTATCATACAGTATGTATATTAGTGCCATCAAGTGCAAAATCTTGCAAAATATTAATTAGTCCAGCAAAAGAGGAATAAAAGGTGTAAGCTCTAACACCATTGACATGCACAATGAAACCAAGATGGTATATTAAAGCTCACGGGTGAGCACAATTTGAGACTGACGAAACTCGAATGTAATCGTATAATAAGCAAAACTTGTAATAGAAACGCGAAACTATAACGTGAAACGTGGTTCGACTAAATAGAAATGAATATAATTTACCTAAATTAATACTAAATACTTAACTTAGCACTAACGCAACTAAACAATAAACTACAAGCTGTCCTCTCTTTATGAGTGTCTCAAACTATACTGCCGAGTTCTGGGGCTAAGCGTGCTTTTTCCATGCAAAAACGTAATTAACTACTGACATCGGTCTTAAAAACATAAATTTCTTGTGATAAGGATAGTCGACCATAAATTTCCTGTGATAAGCACAGTTGTCATTACTAATAAAACACAAATTGACAGTTCCAATCCTACAAAAGGAGAACACACACTATCAAATAGGCAAGTCAATTTCATTTTAATTTTATGACATATTTTTACTATAAATTATAATTACATGACTATTACCGGTACTGACTAGAGCTGTGCGGTTCCAAAAATTTTATCTCGGTTCTGGGATTTTTTGGAACAGAAAAACCTTGGTTCGGTTCGGTTATTTTCAAAAAAGAAGAACAGTACAAATGTATGAACTCATTTATGTATGTTTCGAGCATTTTACTAAATAGATGAATTTATGCCTTTGTAAGTTTGTATAAATCTCTGAATATTTTAAAAGAACAATTCGAATTTATTTGTGAACATGAAATATTTCTTTTTTAAAAAAAATTAAAGCAAGTGCACAACAATAACACAACTACTGTATGTCTTAGGGGCTGTTTACATGAGCCCGGTTTGCAGGGCTGGCTCGCTTAAACAGGGCGCCCGGCTTCATGGTAATTTCCAACACAAAGCAATTTTACTTTACATGACAAACCGGGCCAGCCCGTTTAGCTGGGATCCCACTTGACTCAAACGGGGCGCCCGGTCAGCCGGGATGAAATTTCTCCATGTAAAGTATCCAGCCCGGGCAACCGGGCTAGAACAAAAACTTCATTTAAAACAAAAATAAAAGACAGAAACTGATATTTTTCTTGACAAACTTTTATTTCTTCAATTAATCTTGCTGACAAAGTAGTTTTAATCGATTAAATTTGCCAATAAAGCACAAATTCGACTTCCGTGATAGACGTTACACTGTTAACTCGTAAACAAGTTTTTCCTGCCAATTTTCGTCAGCATGCATATCAGCCCGGCAAACGTCTCATCCCGGCTAGCCGGGCTCATGTAAACAGCCCCTTAAGTATCAACTATTTCTTAAGTATCAACTATTTGAGCCCTTAGTACAGTGCATATTGTGCACAAAGAGCACAATCTTGTTATTTTCCAAACATTTCAACCTGCAATCAGGTGGGCGTTAAAATTAAACTTAAACGGGAAATTAAAACCGAAACTACCAGAGTTCTTTTGCGTATAATTTTTCGGTGCTAGAAAAAGTAACAGAAGAACCGAATGCAATGCTCTAATAATGACCACAACGCTCTAATAATGACATTTGTGTTGAACTAACATTTGTGTTGACACATGTCATGAACTAACACAATTTTCAGCCGTTTTTTTTGTAAAATACACAGAGTTGTAGTATACACTGAAAGTCAGGCATACTTTGCTCATAAGTCTGCAACCCCATCTGCTTCTTACATGTTACAAACTTAGTGGCAGGCTGTTTATATGGCCCCGCTTACCCCGCGGGATTCAATGAAGTGTGACGTATTTTGAGTAATCGAAATAAGTGGCACTTCATGATCTAACAAAATTGCTTGTTACAGATTGTATGAAATTCCATGTTTTAGACAAAAAAACAAATGTTGAATGCTACTGTATATCTTCTTCCACTACATAACTTCTAGCGCGTTTCTAATTTCGTTTAAACAATATTTAAGGTTATCGAACTTTTGTTTAGGGCTGAAACACATATTTTCAATTGCTCAAAATATGTCACACTTCATTGAATCCCCGGTAAGCGGGACCGTATAAACAGCCCCTAAGACAATGTTCAACAAATTGTATTGGTAAAATACACAGAGTTGTATTGTACATACACTGCAGTGAAAGTCAGGCATACTTTGCTTATTGTATAAACCAATAGCAGGAAAATTCAGGAAAGATAGCACTGGTGGAAACTTTGCAAAATATTGGGGGGGGGGGGAGTTCCGAAGGCACGAGATTTCTAGGGGGTATGGGGGGAAATTTTTAAAATTTGGATCCCTGAAACAGCATTTGCATCATTGCATTCTGAGAGCACATTTTGTAAGAAATTTCAGGTTTTCAAAACATTAATTTAATGGTGCATTTTGTTATGAATCATATGCTAAGCATAAAAAACCGACTTTTCAGAGAAAATATTCTAGATGATTAAATACATAATTTGTGAATGGAATTGCAAGGTGGTTTAACTCTTTCTCTCGGCAAGGCCCACGCATCGTCAGCTTCTGGAAGCTAATAATATAGACTAGCCTTACATTTTCGCCAAACATAACTTCTGCTCCTTTGGACGTACTGTGTCATTTTTGTAATAGTATTGTTCGAATCGCTATCATTTAGAGTGTCATTTTCGAGCTTGTAACAAATCTTCAAATTTGCATCTTCATCACGGTATTTCCATTTCTTGTTCGAATGAGTTAATCACAACCGGAAATACAATTTCAAAACGTCAAAACAATGCGACGTTTCTATCGTATGTCTCTGGAAATGCCAGAAATCAATTCTGAAGGTAAAAGTACACCTATACGCGTGATTTTTGACGTTTTCCGGCTACGGGAGCTCCTTATTGGCACGATCCATATAACATTACAGGCTTGATCATCAAGTTGTAAAACAAGTTACGTTCATTTGTTGGTAGATTTCGTTTAAAGTACTGTGTTATACCCAAATGTAATGCCAGTGTGAGTTCAATCAACTCATTTTCCTTCAAGTAACCATAGAGAGCTTGATGTATATGTTTCTCAAATACTTTTGAACAGCAACGGTAGTATCGAAATTGGTCGGTAGTTATTTTTGTCGCTTTACTTCCGTGACCTTTATAGATTGGTGTAACTTTTGTGTAACGCCAGACGATTTTACTTGTTAGTGGCAGAGTACTGTCAGTAAATACTGACAGTACTCTGCCACTAACAAGTAAAATCGTCTGGCGTTACACAGTGTAAATTAGTCTGGCGTTAGCCAGATTTAACACTAAAGTAGTGTGCATTGGCAGCTAATAGGTTAATAGACCTTAATATCCACTTTTGACCCAATGGCTTCATTTTCATGTTGGCTATTTACTCGTATTCCGTGCGCACAATTTAAGAATGAGTTTGTGAACGGGCTTAAATGATGAACGAGAAACAAATTTGTGCAAGAAACATTGGGGATATAACCGAGAATTGTCTAGAAGTATAAATATTTGCATTCAGTTCATATGCCAAAAAGGCAGCCCTTTCCTTGCGATAGTAACTCCTAGTTATAGATTTGCACCATTACATCTCCCGAAAAGGTCTTTTATTTTTTTAAAAAGTCCATAAAATTTGCTTGCGGTTTAAGATTTGTTATCCTGCCTTTTGCACCATAGCGTATGTCGTTATTTTCAGGCCAGTGTGAACGCCTGAGCAGGCGTCTTGTTATATATAACCTACATATAAATATTGGGACATGCAATACTTTCCAATTACTAATTGCTGCATAGTGCACAATTGCGACAGTTTTCAGTCATAAGTAAATCTATATTAATTTTCCTAATTTTTGACTTAAAAATCTCTAATGTTGCACTGCTTTTTACCCCTGCATCTAACTTACTCCATAGTTTAGCACCGAGGTATCTTAGCGAGTTCTTCCCATAAGTTACAGTGTTGAATCCTGGAATACTTATATAACGAGTATTTTTACTAGTGAAGAGGTCTGATATATGTTGCGGGCAAAGATTGTGTTTTGCCTTGTACACTAGGATTGCTATATCCTGCAATCTCCTATTTTGCAGGCTTAGTATAGATTAGCTTTACTCAGTAGCTCTTCATAACCAGTCACTTTATCATTAAACACTGCCCTTAATGCTCTTTCGTGAACCCGTTCTAATTTCCTTTTGTCACTAGCACAGCAAAAATGCCAGACAGTGTGACTATAAGTGAGATATGGTAAAATAGCAGCTTTATATAACTGCAACTTCGCTCTTGTTGCATGGTATCATGTTCTTCATTCTCACGAGGACTCCTACTCGCTGGCTGGCTTTCGTACATACGTTACTAACATGTTCATTAAACTTTAGTCTATTGTCAATATCTACTCTAAACAATCTAATACAGTCACTAGATTCAAATGTGATCCCATTTGATTCAACTTCAATGCTTTCTCCTTTTTTCCTAAATGTCATTATTCGGTATTTACCAAAGTTACCCTCTAAAAGGTTTTCTCTGTACCACTCCGACGCCAAAACTGCACTTTCTTTCAGTTTTAATCGAACATTTTCCAAATTAATCCCACTTAGACCTCACTGTATGTGTTACACTGCTACTGGTATTAAATGCCTGCTATCATTTAATGACTTTGAGAAAGTACTGTGTTGTAACTGCCCCCCAATGTGATGCGAGCCACTGCTTTTCAATCCATGTTTTACACAGTGAGCTCCATGCATGATTGCGATAATTTAAGTCCATTGCCAGTTCCTTTCCATTGTTTTTCTCTGCGCGGTTAACACAAGGCTGGAACGAGTGTGCCAAAACTTTGTGGTTTCACTTTTATGATTTTATAAAAAAAAGTTGATCAGTGGTACACATGCTGTTGAAAAACTGGCGTCCTGCATGAATTAGCTTGCAACGACTTTCCGCCTTCTGAACTTCACTCTAATTGATAGGTTATTGAAGTTCTTACTCTATTTATATATAGACCTCACTGGTGTTACTGATAGAATATTTGAACCCGCTCAATCCAACGTAAATGCCTGCACTCAAATTTATTTTTTGCCTCCAACAATGGACATGCAAAATATCATATAACCGTAAATGGTTGATAAACTCCTCAGGTTCCAATGATCCAGTCTGAGTATTTTTAGTTCCAAGCAGGTTGCGGCCGGAAGCTGAATTGGCTCTGGCGACTCTTAATTTCATTTTTGACTTAATATATTTGTCATTTTGATTAATCATTAATTTGATGCCTGGTTATTTAATGTTGAATAGACTGTCATCATTATATTTGCTCTTTGATTATTAGGCCCATTCACTGAAGTGGTTTCATCGACAATAAATCTTCACAATCCAACTGACAAGAAAGTATGTTTTAAAGTCAAAACTACAGCACCGAAAAAGTATTGTGTGCGTCCAAACAGTGGTATCGTGGAACCTCAGGATACAGTTTCTGTAGCCGGTATGTTGTCCATGAAAGTATATTAATTGCTATTTATTCATTTGAGAGTTTTGTTCATACACTGTGTATAATTTGCTCCTATATTATTATTGTAAACGGAGAGTTTTGTTCATATACACTGTGTATAATTTAAGTAAATTTATTACTGCAAAGCTTTCGATCCGTAAGCCCGGATCTTCATTAGTGCTAATAATATGTGCTAATAATATACATATTATTAGCACTGATGAAGATCCGGGCTTACGGATCGAAAGCTTTGCAGGAATAAATTTATGTGGTGGTTCCACAAACACACTCTATATAGGACCACTCTAGCTATCTGAATGAGACAGAAAAGTTATCTATACATCAAAGCGGCAATCGGAAAAATCATTCTACTGAAACTTTGCAAGTCTTTTGACAATTTATTGCATGGGAGTTCCGTCATGCCATGTTGATTTAGTTTTCTGTTGAAAGAAAGTTAAAAACGTCTGGTGTTGTAACTTTTTGAATTTGAAAACGTGAGTTACAGGGTGGTGTTAAATATGAATTAGGTGGTCTTAAACTTATATATATATATATATATATATATATATATATATATATATATATATATATATATATATATATATATATATATATATATATATATATATATATCGTTCGAGGAAGTTGAGGATTTAGATGTTGAAAACAGGAAGAAATGACACAATTAGATTTTTGGATCGGAAAGTTTGTTCAAGAATTTGCGAACGATAAAGGTGAACGTTACCAAGTGGTTACTGGTCTGAAAAGGCACCTTTCACCATGTATGTAGTTTGATCGTGTGACTTAAATAAAACCCTATGATTGCATGGCTAATTTATTTAATATGAAATTTTAATGAGTTTGAGATTGTTAGTGTTAGTCGATAATTCATTGATGCAGGCTTTGGATGATGCAATCTGGCAGCTGGTTCATGTAGGTTTTATGTCCTCCTAGAAAATGCAAAGAGCACACTGTATATAGGACCACTCTAGCTATCTGAATGAGACAGAAAAGTTATCTTTATATCAAAGCGGCAATCGGAAAAATCATTGTACTGAAACTTTGCAAATATTTACTTTGGACCGCATTAGTCAAGCTATAGATAACAAATGCGTAACGGCAGTAATCCTACTAGATTTAAGCAAGGCGTTCGATAGTATTGGTCATTATACGCTCCTGACGAAGCTTGAAACCCTGTGAGTAAGTCCTTCAGCTATTAATTGGTTCAGGAGCTACCTTACTGATCGATATCAATTCGTTCGGATAGGGGAGTGTCTATCAGAGTCAAAAAGAATTACCCATGGCGTACCGCAGGGATTCATATTAGGTCCTCTGCTTTTTAACCTGTACATTAATGAAATCAGTAACATCTGCTCCAACTGTGATATTGTATCATATGTAGATGATTCCAGACTGAGCTTGTCTTTTGCAATCAAAGACCTAAGTGAGTCCATGGGAAAGCTGGACGCCGATTTAAAAATCGTTGCTGCCTGGTGTTGTCCTAATAATCTACTGATAAATCCAGACAAAATTTAATTTTTGTTGTTTGGTTCCAGACAAGCTCTGTTGGAGATTAACAATATATAAATATATAGACAGTATTCACAGTTTAGAAGCCGGAAATGCGGCATGCGCCAACACTTCCGGTGAAACGAACACATGTTGTAAAAACATTAGTGATGAGAGCGAGCGTGCGAATGGAGATTGTTATATAGGGCGAGATATTAAACTAGTAAAAAAGGAAAGAGATTGTTAACTAAACCTGTGTTTATAAAACTGTGAATTGTCGTAAACACAACAGGAGGCAATTTACGACACCTGGCACCTCCCAACGGGATTGTAACTAGAGATTTAGCTCGAGCAAGAGCAAGGGAATTCCGAATATAATGGCATTAAAACAACAACTCGACGAAATTGATGGCAAGTTACGTTTACTCAATTTTACGACCAAGAAAACCGATGATATACTTAAAACAAACGATGAAGAAGTCGCTATTCGACAAAAGGGTCAAATAACAAAGATTATTTTGGCTATAAGTGACCTGAAACAACTAATCGAAGAAAAGAAATTTATCGAAGGCGACTCCGAAGAGAATGTCGCAGCATGGGGGGAATCAATCGAGGAAAATATAGCTTTGGCCGACGAGAAAGTGAAGCAGTTAAACGAGTATATTCAGCGCCTTAAAGCAGACGAACGCCAGAAAGAAAGCGCCCTGGAAAACGAAAATAAACGACTATTAGACGAAGAAAATTATACGAGACAACAAGCCTTCGAGAAACACGAAAGAGATAAACAACTTGCCTTCGAACAGGAACTTTTCAATCAAAAATTACAGTATCAAAAGGAAATTAAAGAAGTTCAAGCAGGGAAAAACTCATCTACAAAGCTACCAAAGCTTGTAATTACACCTTTTAATGGCTCATATCACGACTGGTTGCGATTCTGGGGCCAATTTTCTGCGGGTATTGAGTTGGCCGATATTCCTGATGTGATGAAATTCTCTTACCTGAAAGAGTTAGTAGAACCCAAGATACGGACATGTATAGATGGACTGCCCTTCACGACCGAAGGATACAAAAGTGCGAAGAAAATCCTTGAAGAAAAATATGGAAACACCAGTGAAATTGTGAATTCCTATGTGGAAGAAATCGTGAATTTGCCAACGATAACAAGTACCCGACCGGAGAAAATACACCCCTTCTACGAGAAATTGGTTTATTGTGTTCAGTCACTAGAAACTTTGGGAAAACTTCAAGAAGTAAATGGATATGTACGACTTACCTTGAACAAAGTACCTGGAATACGTGGGGACTTAGTCAGAACTGAGCCCAAATGGAAAGACTGGACATTCACAGATTTAGTCAAAGCACTGTTCGCTTGGACTGAAAGAAACCCTATTGAAGCAAAGACAAGCAACGAAAGGAAAGATGCATCAAGGGCTTATCAGACCCGTCAAGTAGATCAGAAATCTCGAGCGTGTGTATATTGCGACTCTAAAAATCACAAGTCCATTGCTTGTGACTCGGTGACCACCTGTGAAGCTCGACGAAAGATTTTATCGGACAAGAAACTGTGTTTTAACTGCACGGGTGGTAGTCATAGGGCATCTGAGTGTAGGAGTAAGCAAACCTGCCAGAACTGTAACCGACGTCACCACACCTCAATATGTGAACTAACCAAAACCATTTTGACCGCAGCATACCACCCCAGCGATCACAAAGTAATTTACCCAGTAGTTCTTGTCGAAGTCGACGGTACCAAGTGTAGGGCACTGCTTGACACTGGTTCCGGAAGCTCATACGCATCTGCGAAGTTAGTCGAACAGTTAAACAAGAAACCTAGTGAGTCGAAAGTTACAAGAGTTGAAATGCTAATGGGATCAGCAACTCGTCGAGTGGAAATCTTTAATGTGAACATTAGCAGTACTGAAAGCAACTTTAACTTGGAAACTAAGCTGACTAAAGTGGAAAAACCTTGTTTGATGGAACTTCCTAACCCTCACTATGACAGTCTAATCAAGAAATATCCCCATCTTGGTGGAGTGAAGATGATTGACGATGACCAAAAGGATCAACTTCCAATACATGTCGTGTTGGGAGCTTGTGACTATGCCCGTATCAAAACAAAATGTGCCCAAAGAGTCGGTTCACCTGGAGATCCAGTTGCAGAGAAAACATCATTCGGCTGGACTATGATGTCACCCGGAGTTGAAAGTGATTCAAACAAGATGTTGCTAACACAGACCTCCACTGCTGATTATGAAAACCTCTGTCGGTTGGATGTGCTTGGTTTAGAAGATCTTCCAGAGAATGACCAGGACATTGTTTACGCAGAATTCAAAGAACAACTGAGACGTGACCCTGCAGGATGGTACGAGACTGGGTTACCCTGGAAGGGTAACCATCCCCCTTTACCAAGTAACAAGCAGGGTAGTGTTCGACGGTTAGAATCACTAATGCGAAAACTGAATCGCTCTTCCATTACCGAGAAATATGATCAGATTATTCAAGAACAGCTTCAAGAGGACATTGTACAGAGTGCTCCAGAAAAACCTAACGGACATGAGTTTTATATCCCGCACAAACCGGTGATTCGAGAGAACGCTGACAGCACTAAATTAAGAATCGTATATGATGCATCAGCCAAAGAAAGCGCAGAAGCACCATCACTTAATGACTGTCTTCATACCGGCCCGTCATTGCAGAACAAGCTATGGAGTGTTTTGGTCCGCGGTAGATTTCATCCGGTTGCTGTCAGTGGTGACTTGCAGAAAGCCTTTCTGCAAGTCAGAATCAAAGTAGAAGACCGTGATGCACTGCGGTTCCATTGGAAGCCCAACAGTCAAGCTGAGATACAAACCCTCAGATTTACTCGAGCCTTGTTCGGGTTGGCGCCATCACCCTTCTTGCTGGGAGGGGTGATCGAGTACCAT